CCTTGCCTGCTCTTTTCCTTTTGATAGTCCCATGCTGTTGCCCAGGCTGACCTGTGACTCAGCACTTCTGCCTCAGTCCTCTGCATGCTAGGTTACGAGCATGCGCTGCTGTGTCTAGCCACTTTTTTTTATAAGGTCAGTCAGCTGCTTTGTTTATTTTGATTTTCTCTTGTTGTGTGCCTTGGTTAGCAGCCAGGGCAGCATGCATGCGAGGCACCAGCCTTAACCACTTCTGCTCTCTCTTTAAGTGTGGTCAGATAGGTGTAACGTAAAATGTAGCATCTTAACCACACATGGGACTACAACACAGATTATACATACGCACGCACCACAAATATACATCAAAAAAATCCAACAGTGAAAAATGAAGATTTGGGTCGTCACTTGCTGAGGCTGTAGTATCGGAAGTTTGTTTTGTCATAAAGTTGTTAGGAACCTGAAAGCAAAGCAGCTGTGAACAAGACAAAGAAAGCCAACCTGTTGTACAGAAATTTTAATATAATACATGTTTATTAAATACTTAATATTTTCCAGAAACTCTAATATTTGAAATAGTTGACTAACTCATTCAATTAATCTTTTCTTTTTACAATTAGCAAAGTATTTAGTTTCATTACAGCATTTAAAAATTATTAGCGTGTTCCTGTATGATGTCGTCTGCCTCACAATCACTCACTTATTAAAACAGAGCAGTTGCTGATTAACTCCTCCAGGTATGCAGTGCTTGGCAGCTACAGGGAATTTTGGGGTTTGGGGTTTGTTTGTTTGTTTTATGTTTTCCAGACAGGGAAACATTCTCTGTAACCCTGGCTGTCCTGGAACTCACTCTGGAGACCAGGCTGGCCTCGAGCTCACAGAGATCCGCCTGCCTCTGCCTCCTGAGTGCTGGGATTAAAGGTGAGCGCCGCCACCACCCGGCTGTTTCAGGGATTTTTGAGGACAGCTGCATGATGGGAGACAGACAAGGAGCCAATGAAACACCGCAGGGGAAGAATCACCAGAGCAGTTACACCAGGACATGCCATGACTTAGGGCGCAGAGGCTGAAATCTCTCACCTCTGAAGCCTGACAGCCCGAGCTGGAGCCATGAAACCCAGGGTGGGAGGAGAGAAGCCGCTCCTGAGCGTGGTCCTCTGACCTGCACAGCCTGCCTGTGCTCATCGTGTAGACTGTACACCCACGAGCTGGGGAAAGGAAGTGAAGACAAGGTTCTCGGCTTGCTGGGAGAAATCCTCATTGTTAGGATCTGGTCAGACAGTCCTAGGACTGCACAACCCATAGACTGGATTTTCAGAGTCCAACATGGTTTCCCTTGCCTGTAATCCATCCCAGTAGCCAGGAGTCAGAGGCTGGGGGACTGTGGCAAGTTCCGTGCTCATGGTCTAAACAGCAAGTTCCAAATAGCTCAGACTTCACAGTAAGTCTCAAAAATAAACAGACAAAAAAAAAAAAAAACAACAAAAATTCCAGGCATTTTTAGTTTTTTAATTAAAAAATGTATTTTATAAATTTATTTATTTATTTATTTTTGGATTTTCGAGACAGGGTTTCTCCATAGCTTTTGGTTCCTGTCCTGGAACTAGCTCTTGTAGACTAGGCTGACCTCAAACTCACAGAGATCGCCTGCCTCTGCCTCCCGAGTGCTGGGATTAAAGGCGTGAGCCACCACCGCCCGGCTTTATAAATTTAATTTTAAAAGACTTATTTATGTATTTTTTTGGATATGGGTGCTCTATTTGTCTGTATGCCTGCACACCAGAAGAGAGCATCAGATACCATTACAGATGATTGTGAGCCACCATGTGGGTGCTGGGAGTTGAACTCAGAACCTCTGGAAGAGCAACCAGTGCCTTTAACTACTGAGCCACTGAAATTGTGTCTGTTTGTTTGGAGGCAGGGTTTCTCTGTGTAGTCCTGGCTCTCCTGGAACTTGCTCTGTAGACCAGGCTGGCTTTGAACTCAGAGATCCACCTGTCTTTGCCACCCAAGTTCTGGGACTAAAGATGTACACCACCGCACCCAGCTCTAAATTTAATTTTTAAAAAGATTTTTATTTTATATGTTTGCCTGTGTGTTTGTATGTCCACTACTTGTATGTTAGGGGCAAGAGCAGTGCTTTTATTTGCTGAGCTGTTCCTCCAGACCCGAGTATTTTTTACTAAAGTCTCTATATATTTACCTGTATTTTCTACTTTCATATTTTTCCCTTGTGTCTCTTGTTTTTCAAACAAACAGTCCTTTAATCTTGACTTTTTTTCCTCTTTGCAGTCCCTCCTCCAACCCCTCTATCCGGCTAGATCCTATGAAAGGTGTAAGGGGAGTTGACCTCCACAACATCAAAACAGGTAGCAGGTGGTCAGCATTTCCTTGGATGAACCAACCATCCCTATTACTGTGCAGGTTGTGTTTTCAAATCTGTGTCTGTCTCAGTTCGGGTTTCTTTTTCTGTTGCTGTGAAGAGACACCGTGACCACGGCAACTCTTTTAAAGGAAGACATTTTATTGGGGGTGCTTTACAGTTTCAAAGATTGAGTCCATTCTCGTCAAGGTGGTGTGTAGGGAGATGTGGTGCTGGAGAGGGAACTGATTTCTGCATCTTGATTCTGAGATTTCTGTCTTGTTGTTGTAGGCAACAGAAATGAACTGGGCGTTGCTTAAGCATAGGAGACCTCAAAGCCCTGCCCCCTATGGTGACATGCTTCCTCCAACAAGGCCACACCTCCTAATAGTGCCACTCCATTTGGGGGTCGTTTTCTTTCAAACCACCACAGTACCCTTCATTTCTTCTTATCTATTTAAAAAATATTTTAATTTGTACTGTGTGTCTGCATGTGCATGCGTGTCTGTGTGTGTTCCACAGCATGCTCAGAAGTCAGAGGACAATTTAGAGTCAGTTCTTTCCTTTGCTATTTGTTGCAGAATAGTTGATCACACTGTGAACCCTGAGATTACATTGTTTAAATAAAATCAACCATAGGTCGAGATGTGGATCAAGCAACCAGTTGGCTGAAAGTAACCATAGAGGGTGAGGGGAAGTAGGGAGGAGAGAGAGAGAGAGAGAGAGAGAGATAGAGAGAGAGAGAGAGAGAGAGAGAGAGAGAGGATCATAGGAAATAGAAGGGCGGGATATCTGGTTGGTTGGAGGAATACTTTTTCAGAAGGTATAGAAGAGAACATTCTTTCTGAGGCAAAGGCAGAGGAGGAAGTCATCCCCCTGCTTTCTTTGCCTCTGAGCTAGCAAGTGTTCACCCCAGCATCTGACTCCCAAGTCTTTATTGGTAAAATAAAAGGATAGAGACGTGGTTAGAAACAACATTTACCTCCATGTATGGAGGTGGCATAGACAGCTTTGGTGAGACGTGCAGACTCCCTGGGGCCACAGCCTCAGCTTTAGCAGTGAAGCAGAGGTGGCAAAGTGTAGTCACAACCAGGACAGCTGTCGGTTCAGTTACAGCCACCGTGTGGCAGAGGAAAACAACAGCCACGAATGTTTGGAGGTTGAACTTAGGTCATCAGGCTTGATGGCAAGCGCCTTTGCTCACTGGCCTATGTTCTTTATTTTGAGACAGCATCTCATCACGTAGTCCTTACTGCTCTAGAACTGCCAGCTTCTGCTCCTAGTGCTGGGATTAAAGGGGTGATGGCTGATCTTCGCTGTCAACTTGACGATTTGCAATCACTTAACACCTAAGCAGCTGGGCATGCCTGTGGACGTTTTACTTGATTGGGTCATTTGAGGTAGGAAGACCGGCTTTGTAAGTGGTCCTGAGTCTCTTGTGCAGTTTTCATATAGTCCCTTCTAACACCAAACAGCTATCTGTTATGGGAAGTCAGGCTCAGGACGCGGAGACCTGAAAGTGTCTGTGTATGCTTGTCTTAGTTACTTCTCTGTAGCGGTGACAAAACACCGTGACCAAGAAACTTACCAAGAAAAGTGTTTAGTTTGGCTTATGTTTTCAGAGGGTTAGAGTCCATGGCAGAACAAAGGCATGGTGGTAGGAACAGCCAAGAGCTCACATCTTGACCTACCAGTATGAGGCAGGAAAAGAAAGAGACTAGCCTTGGCATGGGCTTTTAAAACCTAGAAGCCCCAGTGGCACACCTCCCTCAACAAGGCCACCCCTCCTAATCCTTTCCAAACAGTTCTACCAAGTGGGACCAAATATTCAAACATAAGAGCCTATGGGAGCCCAGTTTTCATTAAAACTGCCATGATGCTCACTACCAAGGCTCAGAGACACCGATTTTCAGTCCCCATGTGGCAATACAACCTTACTTATTGAACTTATTGGACCTCATTTATCACACTGTGGCTGGGATTTGTGGTATTCTGATACTGGCTTAGGAAATCACCCATTTCCACTAAACTTCCCACTTGGTTGCCATGGGATTGTAAACACTTTTCAGTGGTGATTTATGTATTCGGTCTCAGAAACCATTTCTGCTTCCTCTTTTTATTTAGTGTTTCCATATGCTGACTTCTCTCTTTCTCCCTCCCTCCCTCTCTTCTGGAGCCGAGGACTGAATTTATGGTATCATGCTTACAGGACTCTGTCACTGAGCTAAATCCCCAATGTCAGCTTATTTTATTTCATTTCTCAAAGAAAACTTACTATCCTTTCTGTTATCTTCTTTTGTACCTATTGTTAGTGTTCATCTGTAAATAAGTCTTCCTTCTGGTTTATGGTGTTGACTTTCTGAAATTGAATCCTGTAGTTCACTTGTTTTCTACCTTTTAAAAAATAATTTCTTTTTATGTGCGTTGGTCTTTTGCATGCACGTATATCTGTGCAAGGGATCAGACCACTGGAACCGGAGCTAGGGTTGTGAGCTGCCATGTGGGTGCTGGGAATTGAACCCAGGCTCTCTGGAAGAGCAGCTAGCGCTCTAACTACTGAGCCATCTATCTCTCCAGCCCCACCTTTTTTTAAGTGAAAGAATTTAAAGACTATAGATTACATACAGATTCCACATGCTAAACTTCTTATTTCTAGGTGTGAGTGAGTGTGTAAGTGAGTGAGTGATTGAATTTATAGCCTCTGGGACACTCTTCCGCTGTCACAGCCTCTGTCCTAGGATTTGGTTTTATTTTCTCTTTGAGAAAGGGTGGTGTTATGTTTGTTCTTGGGTTTTGGTCTTTGTTGTTTTCTGAGACAAAGTCTTGTTACATGCAGGCCAGCCTGGCTTTGAACTTGCACTCCTCCTCCCTCGGGCTCCTGAGTGCCGAGATTATACGAATGTAATACCGCACCTCATCTGAAGTTAGATTTTGGTCACACACTGTGAACAGAAAAGTCTCTGTGTTGGGGTACTTATTACGGAGTTTTCAGTGGCCAGTGACTAACTGGTGTTTGTAAATGAGTGTTCTGTCAGTGGATATCGGTGGCTTCTTAAAGGATTTGAAAATCTTGTGTGTCTTTGTCGTGTGTGGGCTTGTGTGTGTGAATGCAGGTGACCAGAGGCTTTGGATCCATTTGGAGCAGGGAATGAGTGGTCTGACACGGGGTGCTGGAAATCAAACTGGCCCTCTGCAGGAGCGGTGGGGGCTTTCGACCGTGCACCCTCCACTCTAGCCCAGTACTGGCGTTTCTAAGTGCTGTGTGAACTAGCTGCCAGGTTGATTTGCCAGATTCCGGATGAGATTAGAGCCTCCGACTGTTACACTGTTCTGTTTTGTTTTTCACTTTTTAAGGCACCATCTCTCTACATAGCCCTGGTTCTCTTGAACTCGCAGAGATCTGCCTGCCTCTGCGTGTACACCATAACCTTGAATTTCTGATCCTCTGGCCTTCACCTCTTGAATGCTGAGATTTCAGGCAGGCACCACCACCACGCCCTGTTTATATAGCACTGGAAACCAGACCCAGGTCTCCATGCATCCTAGGCAACCGCTTCGCTGAGCTACACCCCCAGCTATTTCGCAGGCTTTTAATTTCCCCCTGGTGAATTTGGATACAGTACTTTTCCATAACTACCAGTCTCGCCTGGACCCTGTTATTTGTCCTGCATCTTGACATTTTACCCTCCCCAGCATCCCTCTGCTCCAGAAGAAACATTTAGAGTGCTTTTCCCTCCTGTCACAATTAGGGAGCATCCATGAAGCAAATTGAAAGGAAATCGTTATTAGGTTTCAGCTTGGGCTCTGCAAATCATAACCACAACCCTAGGAAAGAGCATTTTTCCAGTGTGTCACGTAGTTTTGTCCTGCCTGTAATTGTCACAGATTGAATGATATGGAAGGTTTAATGAGGCAAATGTGAAGTTGTTTGCGTTTTAGTCTGGTTTTGAGAGAGTGTCTTGCCATGTAGATCGTGGTGGCTTTAAACTTGAAATCCTTCTGCTTCGGCATCCTGAGAGCACACCACCATGCAGGCCTTTTTAGACAGGGTCTCTCGCTATAGCCCCGGCTATTCTGGAACTCATTACGTAGACTGAACTGGCCTCTTCTTATTTTTTATTCTTTGTTTTTAATTATTTATTTTTATAGCTGCATGGTGGTGGCATACACCTTTAATTCCAGCACTCAGGAGGCAGAGACAGACAGGCTGATCTCTGTGAGTTTGAGGCCAGCCTGGTCTACAGAGCTAGTTCCAGGACAACTAGGGCTGTTATACAGAGAAACCCTGTCTCAAAAAAAAATTGTTATTTTGTGTTCATTGGCATTTTGCCTGCATATATGTCTATGTGAAGGTGTCTCTGAGTTCCATGTCAGGTTAGCCTACAAAACAGTTCCAGGACAGTCAAGGCCAAACAGGAAAAACCCTGTCTTAGAAAACAAACAAAACAAAGCCAAACAAAAAAAAAAATTTTTTTTTTTACGTATTATTTATTTTTGAAGAGTCTTCTTTAGCCTGGGTTGGTTTCAAACTTGCTATGTATCTGAGGATGACCTCGAATTTCTAATTCTTCTGCCTCCACAGCCCAAATGTTGGCACACAGTTTATGCTATGCTGGAGGCCAAACCTAGGCAAGCACTCTACCAACCAAGTTACCATCACCAACCTCTTAATTTACAATAGATAGCAAAATAAATATGAACAGGTACAAAATCTCAAATGTCACTACCTGGAAGTATTGTAATTCTATGCATTTTTTTTCCAAGACAGGGTTTCTCTGTGTAGTTTCAGCTGTCCTGGAACTTGCTCTGTAGACCAGGCTAGCCTCGAACTCATAGAACTCAGCTTATCTCTGTCTCCTGAGTGCTGTGATTAAAGGCGTCTGCCATCACCTGGCTCTATGCATCTTTTTAACCTCTGAGATTTGAAAATATTTTTCATAGCTTATGCTATGTATATATTGTAAAATAAAATAAAAAGTTGAGTATTGTGTTCGTGTAGTTTTGGGTCTTGGTGTTTTTTGTCCCCTAAGGTGGCAGCAGGGTCTGTGTGACTCTTGTCCATAGGGTTTGTTCTCAGAGGCTGCTTTGCTGGGATCTCCCCGGTCTAAGGAGATAAGCCAGCTCCAAGCCAGGCCCAGGGACTTCTTGGTCTGTTAAAGATCTGAAAACTCTTCTGGCTTCAGAGGAACTGCAGTGAGTTGATTCTCATGTATCTGGAGAAGAGGACGTAGAGGCGGCGGAACCAGACAAGCTGACTCTGGTGGCAGGACATGGCTTTCTGGAAGAATCAGAGGACACTTGCTCTGGCTCTTATTTTCAGACCTTCCCTTCTCACCAGATCAGGGCACACCGACCCACAGTCCCCCACCCCAGCTCTAATGATTCTCAGAGTCACCTGGCCCGCTGCTGGCTCTTTTTTTTTTTTTTTTAAAGATTTATTTTATATGTATGGGTGCACATGTATATGTATCCCTTATGTATAGTACTCATGGAGGCCAGAAGAGGGTGAAGACACCCTGGAACTGGAGTTTCAGATGGTTGTAGGGTGCTTAAGGTAGGTGCAGGGAACTGAACCCAGGTCCCCTGCAAGAGCATCAGGTGTTCTTAACCACTGAGCCATCTCTCCAGCCGTTTATTTCTTTTACTGATGTTATTATATATTTCTGCGTTTCCTAAAGTGAGCGTGTTGCCATTTATTTATCTAAAGTCTTTATAATCAGAAAAAAGGCTCAAGTCATTGAAAATACATGCCTGTCAGGTGTAGCTGAAATCATCTAGCAAGCAGGGCGGGCCTCGTCCCTGTGCAGGGGGCTTTGCCAGGTAGCAGGGCTTTGCGGAGCCCAGGGACCTGAGGCTGGGTTCACAATGCAGTATTCAGGAAGTACAACCCTTACCTTGGCCTGTGCCACTTCTTTGCTGGTGAGTATGAAGAGGGCATCCTGGGGTGAGAGTAGAGACCAGGGCAGATCCAGGAGGTAGAGATACTTCCGGAGCACACTTACAGACTGCAGAGTGAGTACGGAACACCCTGGGCAAGGGAGAATAGAAGCTACTCTCAGCCGGGCATTTCCCTGAGCACCCTCCCTCTCCAGGTGGCTCAAGGCAGGCTGAGCAGTTGCTCTCCACCTTGGGTGCCTGGTGGCACTTTGACCAGTATTCTCCTATACGGGAAGAGTGACAGGGCCACAGAGCTCCCGCCCACTGTTTGTGTAACTGATAGGAAGGGGCTGCCAGAGGGTGGAGGGAGGCTGATGGAGACAGGAATGTCTGAGTCCGGAGGCTGAAGACTCATTTCAGCTTTGCTCCAACACGAGGCGCTGCATGTGGTGGCTTCCACCTGTCACCCCAGCACTTGGACGGCAGAGGCAGGGGGACTCCCATGAGTCAGAGGCAAGCCTGGGTTTCATGATGCATTTGAGGTTAGCCTGGGCTTCAGAGTGAGACCCTGTCTCTAGAAAACAAACAAACAAACAAAAAAAAAAAACCCCAAAAAGACCTGACGCATAAATTCTCTTAACTGCTCTGGATTTTAGCTTCCTAGCTGCTAAAGTAATGTTGATAGTATAGGGCCTGCCCATCTTCCATGGTGGACAGAAGACACAGCACACATCACTTAGGTCACTTTTGATTTCATGTCACCCTTGTAAGGCAGGACAGGCCAGAACTTGTTCAGAGAAGTAGTGTAGGACATCAGGCAGCGGATGGTCAGTGGGGTCCTATGCCTCCTACACAGTGACTGGCCAGTGGGGTCCTATGCCTCCTACACAGTGACTGGCCAATGGGGTTGTATGCCTCCCAGGCAGTGACTGGCTAGTGGGGTCTTATGCCTCCTACACAGTGACTGGCCAATGGGGTTGTATGCCTTCCAGGCAGTGACTGGCTAGTGGGGTCCTATGCCTCCTACACAGTGACTGGCCAGTGGGGTCCTAGGTTTCACAGGGAGAGGTTAGAAAGTGCACTATTTCAAGCTCATCAATCTACAGGAAACTTGTGAGTCACCTTTGTAACCCTTAATTGAGTGGGTGATGGGAGGGGAGTTTGGACAGACTAACAGAATGTCGGCAGTGGAAAGGAGCTACCTCCCCTGGGAGGCAACTAGACAGGGTGCTTGGCAGTGGATACAGTCTGAACCCCACACAGACCTGACTGGTTCAGGGGGAGTGGCCCACCTTCCAACACGGCTGCTCTGTGTCTAGGTGTCCTTCAGTGCACAGCAATGCTGTTCTAGGATCCCCACAAACACTACAGTTATGGATGCTCGAGTCTCTCATATAGAATGATGGAGACTTACACAGAACCTACCCACATTCTCTTGTATATGTTAAATCATCTCTAGGTTACTTATAATCCCTAATATAAGGCAAATGCCATGGAAATAGTTGCTACATTGCATTGTCTAGGGACCAATGATGAAAAAAGAATCTTCATGTTCTGTACAGGTGCCCTTCCCCCCTGCATATTTAAACATTTGTGTGTGTGCGCGCGCGTGTGCACGTGCTCATGCCTGCCTGACTTTGTGTGCACCACATTTGTGCACAGGGTGTCTGATGTCCCTGGAACTGGAGTTATAGGTTGTTGTAATCCGCCTGATATGGGTGCAGGGAATTGAACCCAGGCCTTTTGTGAGAGCAGTAAGCGCTCTTAACTGAGGAGCCACGTCTCCAGCATCCCCTTGAATAATTTTGATCCCAGGCTGTGAAATCCATGGATACATAGAAACCCACAGATATAGAGGGCTGACAATATTTGCAAATCTCCCTGGTAAATTTCTTAAAGGGATAGTAACCATTGTCTATTTGCAATAAAACCAGGCCCTCCTTACCTGTAGGCAGCTTCCCTTCAGAGCGCAGGGCCCTGGAGGATGGAGAGGACAAACATTAGAGAGGGAATGAGTCACTTAACTTTTCCGTGTTAACAGGAGGGACCTTCAGAGCAAGGCCTGTGCGTCCCAGGCCCAACCAAATGCACAACCTCCCCGTGGTTTCTACTGCATGAACCAGCATCTAAATATATGGGATTCTACACCTTTGGCTATTGCTGAGGGGAGCAGAACAGGCATTTCATCCCCACTCAGCTTGTTCCAGAAGCTGGTGTACGGCTTATGGAACAGTCTGGCCAAGTGTTCCCCGTTAGAATAAATGGGTAACTATCCTTAAACTTTGAGTTAGCTGGCCTTGGTGGTGCACGTCTTTAATCCCAGCACTCAGGAGGCAGAAGCAGATAGATCTCTGAGTTCAAGACCAGCCTAGTCTACATAGTGAGTTCCAGGAGTCAGGGCTATGCAGAGAAATGTTGTCTCGAAAAAAACAAAAAATAAATACAAAACAAAAAAGAAATTATACACTTTGGAGGCAGAGGCAGGTATATCTCTGTGAGTTCGAAGCCAGCCTGGTCTACAGAGAGAGTTTCAGGACAGCCAGAGCTATCACAAATAAAAATCCTGTCTTGAAAAACCAAAACAACAACATATATATATATATATATATATATATATACATACACACATATATATACACATATATATATCATGAGTAATGAAAGAATGTTTGAACATGTTAATTTTGTTTCATATTTTCTTTCTCCTTTTGACCCCCTCACTCCCACTGTCTGACAATGAAAGCTGCTCTGGGCTCACTGCTCTAAGGAGGGGCACAGTAAATTCGACACCAGTAATTACTGGATTGCTTCCTGGCTTTGTGATCAGAGGCGGGGCACACAGAAGAAGTGGGTAGACCCAGACAACACACACACACACACACACACACACACACACACACACACACACGAATAGAGGCTCAGGGGCAGGGGTCAAAGTGAAGGAGTCAAGAGAGAGTTAGTTGGTAAATGCATGGGAACCCTAAGAATCAGAAAAGCTGAAAGAGGTTTCTGGGATCCTGGGAGACATCTTGTCCTGCACTCTGGGCAGAGCCAGTCTGACTTTGAGGCAGATACACTGGTCCAGAGGTGAGAACTGGAGGTCCACACCACGTAATCACACTCACAGCCCTCATGACCCTTGAAGAATCTTACTGAGCATGGCTGGGAAGAGAGCCCTGGGCATTAGGGCACGGAGGGGTCTTGGGTAGGAAGAAAGACAGGAAGAGACTGGGAGATGATCAGGGAGACCAGGGGTGGGAACAGTGTCAGCAAGTCAAAGCAGCATTTTGATGAGTGACAGGGTCAAATGCCACACAAGGGCACAGGTGAGGACGAAGGTGAGTGGTGGACTCAGCAGACAGGAGTGGAGAAAACTTTCAGTAGCTGGTCAGCGTTCCCATGCATTGCTTTCTCTGAAGTGCGGGCTCACATGAGTACAGAAAGGACTCATGAACTCTGAGATCCCATGACACTCCAGCGTCTGAAGAAATACCAGCCGTGGCAGCCTGTTGGCAGAAAGCTGTGCCCTGCCCTGGATGACTCCTCGCGGGGCCCCCACAGGGTTGACTAGTGTCCTAGTTGGCTCTCTGTTGCTGTGATAAATACCAAGACCAAAGGCGACTCTGGGGGGTGTTCATCTTAAAACTCCCAGATCACTGTCTATCACAGGAAAGTCAGGTCAAGAATTCAAGCAGGAACCTGGAGGTAGGAACTGAAGCAGAGGCCATGGAGAAGGCTTCTTACTGGCTTGCCTTGGGGGACACCGCCCACAGTAGGCTGGGCCCCTCTACATCAATCATCAATCAAGAAAATGCCCCACAGGCTTTCCTTCAGGCCAATTTGATGGAGGCCTTTTCTTAATTGACATTCCCTCTTCCCAGATGACCCTAGCTGTGTCAAGCTGACAAAAAACAGGCATCACAAGCAGGGATGGAACTAACCAAGTCCCCTCAAGTGCCTTGCCCACTGTCTGCTGAGGTGCTCTTGGTTTGTTTATAGCAAGCTTGAGCTGACCATTTTCCTGGTTAATACTTGGGTACAAATTTATAAGGCTCTGTGTGGACCTGGAATGAAGTGGAGCCCCTGTTTCTACCTGCCAATGGCTGGCTTTCCAGCAGTCCAGTCTTTAGAATAACAAGTTTGGCTAAACGTCCATTCCTGGAATACACACTTTTTTGTGTATCTTCACCCAAAAAATTGCATCGTCTACTGAAACCTGAGGTGTGACTTTCTTAACTATGAATGAACCTAATGCAACTGTTAACACATAGCTGTACCTGTGGCCTCTGCTGGTCCAGGAAATGAATGGTTTTTACAAGAGGGGAGAGAAGTGTGGTGTCATCATCCCACAGTCAAAGAATCAGGGTTAACTGGGAAGAAGATACGAGAGTACTAATTTCTAGCACCTTCCAAAGTTGCATACAATTAAAGACAAGGCTGGGGAGCCATCAAGCTGGGATTGCCTTCGTGTGAACCTAATGGAAGCAGCCAATGGAGGCACCTAATGGAAGAGAGAACCGGGATGCCCGAGTGCTAGGCTTGTCTCTGCTAATGTTGAGTCTTGTGATGGGCAAACATCTTCACTGCCTGTCAAATGAGAGGGTTGCACTCAGTGACCAGTGAGGTCATTTCCAACTTCATAACGTTGACAGCCTCAGTCTGCTAATGGTGAACATGTTTAGAAGAAGAGAAAGTAAGACTTTCCAGTGCCCCTTTCTTTCCTCGGCAGCTAGGACAGAGCCTGCACTCTGCAGAAGTATTCTCTGGAGGAGAGGGAACACAGTCTGTTTGTTTGACCCTAAGTCATGCACCATTTTTGAGGCTCCATTTTGGTTTCACTGATAAGATGAGATAGTCTTGCTTGTGGCCTAAAATGCCTGATGCAGAGACCTTCCTGCCAGTCCCCCGAATGCCAGGCTAACAGGCAACAATTGGGATGTCATATTACCCAGGTATGTCATTGTTCTCCCAAAGCCTGGGAACAGCTTAGAAGAAACCTAACAGAACATCAGTGAGGGGAGGGGTGAAGATGGTTAAACTGGGTGCTGGTCCACAGGCCTTACTCCTGGACTCTCCTTCATTCCTTTCAAGGCTGAGGATTTGGCCTGTCAGGTTTCTGTGGCCACAGTAAAGATGGAAATAGAGTCTGTCACCCCATTTGGAGTATCCAGGGGATAAAATAAGAATTCAACTGTTAAAGTGGACAGGTACACACCTGTAATCCCAGCATCAATAGGCAGAGGTCTGAGGCTCACTGTAAGTTTGAGCCCAACCTGGTCTACATAGTGAGTTCTAGACAAGATAGGACTCGTCTAGACCAGCCAGGATGAGATAGCAAGACCCTGTCTCAAAAGCAAAACCAACCAACCAACAAACAAAAATATAAAAAAACCTCTACTCCTCCCTAAGAGCCTATAGGTAGTTAATGACTGCCACACACACGCATGCCACACACACACACATGCCACACACACGCATGCCACACAGTATGCCACACACACATGCCACACGCGCGCATGCCACACACACGCACAGGAAGGAAGGACAGTCAGTCTCTTACCCTAGGGAAGGGGAAGAGAGAGCAATGGAGAATGAGTATGATCAAAACACATCATATACATGTCTAAGGATTATGAAAAACCCACTACCATGTATATTTAATATAGGTCAATAAAATCTTTCTTTGTTTGTCTTGTTTTTTCATGACAGATTTTCTTTGTGTAGCCCTGGGTGACACTATTTTAAATCAGGCTGGCCTCAAACTCACAGAGATCCCCCTGCCTCTGTCTCCTAGTGCTGGGATTAAAGGCATGTGCTACCACCTCCTGGCTTGGCCAATAAAAACTTTAAAAAACACAGTATGTCTACTACACTCAATAAATAAAGACTGAAAAATAAAAAAAATCTGAAAAAAAACCCCTGAAAAATAAAAAACTTAGGAGACAGTCATTCCCACCCCTACAAAGACTTGCAGGAGCCGCCTGCCTCTGCCTCCAGGAGTTCTCATAAAGAGGATGTGGGGCTGGAGAGGGGGCTTAGTGGCTTAGAGCACTGTTTAGGGGATCCAGGTTCAATTCCCAGCACCCACACAAAGGCCCACAACCACCTGTAACTAGTCTGTGGGGATCTGACGCCATCTTCTGGCCTCTGTGGGCACTGCATGCATGTGGTACACTGGTACACGGACATACATGAAGGCAGAACACCCATACATGTTTTTAAAAAAAAGGTGTGAGCTGGGCCATGGTGGTGCACGTCTTTAATCCCAGCACTCAGGAGGCAGAGGCAGATGGATCTCTGTGAGTTCGAGACCAGCCTGGTCTACAAGAGCTAGTTCCAGGACAGGCTCCAAAGCCACAGAGAAACCCTGTCTCGAAAAACAAAAACAAAAACAAACAAACAAACAAACAAAGATGTGGTGAGGTGGGTAGGTGGTGAGCACCAGGGCAGCGCTGACTGCATGGTGACAAAAGAGAAAGTATCCCGGGACTCGGACGACAGGCAGGAAAGTGTTTTAGCACATGGGGAGACCCTTTCCCACTCCCGTCACCCAGAGAAGCATACCTCACGGCTTTGTACAAAGCCACATGATTGCTGTGACCACTGACTCCTTCTGCATCAAAAGTCACCACCTGTAGGGACAGACCCGGGGAGGAAGGGCTCACTCAGAGCTGCGGAATGGCTTCTCCACTGCCTCAGCTTCAAAGTGGCCTTCACCATTCCTCTGGGGAAGGAAAGAGCAGAGCCTGAAACTTTTCAAATTCTGAGCAGCCAGGGTCACCCCTGAGCAGGTGGACCTGTGTGTGGTGACGGTCAGTGTTTGCTTCACTCTCGTTCCGGGACATAGAAAGAGCAGAGTGGGAGTCACCTCATGACAGAAACTTGTGTGTGTGCAAGGTGTGTGTAAGAATGTGCCCTTGGAGACCAGAGAGGAACTGCAGGTGTTATTCCCCTGGAGATCCCTGCCTTGTTTTTGAGATAGTGTCCTTCACCTACCTGGAGTTTGGTGCCCAGGCCAGCCTGGCAGGCCTGGGAGTACCAGGGATCTGCCTGCCTCTGTTTCCCCAGTGCTGGGATCATAAACACACAGCACCGTGCCTGGCTTTTGTTTGTTGGTTTTCAACATGGGCTCTAGAAATCAAACTTGAATTCTCATGCTTGCAAGGCAAGTCTTTACCGACTGAGATGACCAAGGCTAGGATACCTTTGCGGAGGGCTGGGGATGTGGCTTAGCTGGCGGAACTTGTCTAGCACACGTGAAACCCAGAGTTTGTTCCTTAGCACTTCGTAAGCTTGATGTGGTGGTGCGTGCATGTAATCCCAGATCCTGGGAGAGAGAGGCATGAGGGGCAGAAGTGTAGGGCCATCCTTGATCTACGGGAAGTTTGAGGCCAGCCTGGGATACATGAGAACTTGTCTCAGCAGATGTTTGTTTCTTTGCCTGGCCACGTGCTAAGCACGTTCATTTCCTTAGCTGACTGCTGCGTAGGATTTGTTCAGGTGGATGTGGCCTGATTCACTGGGTGTCCTTTCCTCGTGCCACCCCACAAGTACAGTGTCCTGGAGTCAAGTCACAGGAGTCTAGCTCAGGCTGCCTCTCGTTCCATTTGTACAGATATCTTCAGTGTGGCTCACAGAAGCAATATAAGAAAACAAGGACTCAGGAAAAGAGTAGGGATGGTTGGTTAGACGGAACGAGAAGGGCTGTCCCCAAGGACGGAAAGTGTCCTCATACACTTGAAAGGGTTAGAACTGAATTGGGTAGTCTGGGGAAGATTCACTCTTGCTCCATTTATTTTGTGATTATGATTTTTTTTTTGTGAGATGTCTCATGTACCCCAGCCTTGCCTTGAACTCTCTATGTAGCTGAGGCTAGCCTTAAATTCCTGGTTTCCCTGCCTCTACCTCCCAGGTGATGGAATTACAGACCTGTACCAATACACCAGGTTTGGTCTTTCTTTACACAGGAGTGGCCCTGGCTACCATGAGAGCACCATGGAGTGTCAGTGCCAATTCAGGGCATGCCCTACACAGTCTCACGATGACAAGGAGAAGGGCTTTAAGGCCAGGATAATTGTTCCCCTTTGTTAAAACTAAGAAGAAATTTTTCCTTCTTTCTTGGTTTTTGCATTACTGGGATTCAAACCCAGGGGGGATTGTGTATAACTAGGCAAGCACTCAGCCACTGGGCTAGACTCCCAGCCCTGAAACTCAGGAGCTTTCTGGCATAGTCCTCCTCCCATTCACTTGTCTCAAATCATAATTAGTGCCCCTGGAGGCGGGTGCTCTGTTCAGGAATTTTTCTAGGGCCAGGCATCAGAATTGGGTTTTATTATTAAAAGAACACATTTACAATTCTTCCTAACCAGCAGCAGGTCCTGAGACTGTCACCAAGATGTTCAACCCATCAGTGTGAAGCTTAGGACCCATTAAAAGTCATTCCTAGGATGAGCCCAGCAGTGGTGGCGCATGCCTTTAATCCCAGCACTCGGGAGGCAGAGGCAGGTGGATCTCTGTGAGTTCAAGGCTTGCCTGATCTACAAGCTAGTTCCAGGACAGGCTCCAAATCTACAGAGAAACCTGATGTAGGAGGGTCATCTGTCTATGTGTTACTTTCATTGGTTAATAAAGAAACTGCCTTGGCTTTTTGATAGGGCAGGATTTAGATAGGTGGAGTAGACTGAACAGAATGCTGGGAGAAAAAAAGCAGAGTCAGGCAGATGCCATGAAGCTCTGGCCCGAGATGGACATAGGTTATAATCTTCCCAGTAAACCACAACCCTGTGGTGATACACAGATTACTAGATATGGGTTAAAGCAAGATGTGAGAGTTAGCCAAGAAGAGGCAAGATATAATGGGCCAGGCAGTGTTTAAATGAATACAGTTTTCGTGTTATTATTTCCGGGGATAAGCTAGCTGTGTGGGAGCTGGGTGGGACAAAAAGCAGGCCTGCTCACCTCATCACTACAGAAACCCTATCTTGAAAAACCCTATCTTGAAAAAAAAATCATCCATAGGACTGTAATAATACTGGGCCCTCCCATCTTGTGTGAGTGAGGCCGTTGAGTATGGCTGCTCTGTAGATTTGCTCTGCTACCCATGTCCTGTTTCCCTGGAACCTGAGTTATTACTTCATGTAGCAAAGGGATTTTGCCAATGTGATTAAGAATTTCAAGATGGAGAGGTTATTCCAGATGGGTTGGTTGGCTCAATGCAAATCATGGTGGACATTAAAAGGGAGCACAAGAGGGTCAGAGGTAAAGGCCATGTGACAAGAAGAAGGTGATACAATCTCTTTGAAGATGGAGGAAGAAGAAAGAAATGGGCCATGTTGCTTATGCCTGTAATCCTGCAGTCTGCTCAGAGTAACTCAGCCCCTACATGAAGACAAATCCTGTTCTCCCGTGCTCAGGACATACTGGGCAGATCAAGGAAGGCCATGACTTCTAAGTCTTGAATGGTGAATTTCCCTTACAAAGGGAGGGAGCGGTAATGGCCAACACTTCTGACACACTATGATGAGGACCAGGATTGAGGGTAGTCCCTGTAGAGCCACTACCATAAGAAAGCAGGGTACAGAGGCAAAAAGATGGCTCAGTGGCTAACAGTTCTTACTGCTCGCTCTCCCAGGAGACCCCGGCAACCACCTGTAACTCTAGTTCCAGGGGACCCAACACCCTTTTCTGGCCTCTATGGGCTCCTGTAGATACATGGTGTGCATATACTCATATAGGTTCATATGTACATTATGACAAAAAGAAAAAAGTCCTTAAAAAAGACTAATGTGTTAATTCACTCAGTGAACTTCAGTCATTGACTGAAAGCCCAATAAGCTTCTTAACCAGCAGGCTCTATGTTCTAACAAAACTCAGTCAAATGAGAGGGCTCTGGATAGCAAAGCTTTGCCATTAACCTATGAAGAATCACTATTTGGGGTTTGGGAAAGTAAACCTTGGCAACTTTCAAGTGGACTGCTTCAGCCAGGTGTGGTGTGCACACCTTTAATCCCGGCACTTGGGAGGCGGAAGCAGGAGGATTTCTATGTGTTTTGGGCCAGAACTGACTGTTGCAGAACCCTAACCTGCTAACCCTATGTGAATGTGAATCTCCACTGCTGCTCTAAAATGGTGATTTTCCTTATAAAGTGAATATGAACTTAGCCTCATTTTTTTTTTTAAAGAAATGAAGGTTAGCTGGGCATGATGTTGCATGCCTTTAATCCTAGCAAAAATCAGAGGCAAAAGCAGGTTGATCTATGTGAGCTTCAAGGGTACCTGTGAGAACCTGTTTCAAACAAGCAAACAAAAGAAATTGAGGCTTAAACCTCATAGCCACAGAACTGGGAATATAGTTCTTTGACAGATCTAGGGCCTATCATACCCAAAGCTCTGGGTGAGATCCCTAGACGCCCCCCACCCCCTCATTGCCCCTATATGTCCCTGGAAGCCACCTGGATCATTAAGAATTTTAACATTCATAACACTTATCCTCAAAGTGAGAATCATCCCGTAGCTGTGAAACCACTGGGTATGAGACATTCTGGGTCAGTGAAAGTCTCTTGCGGGTTCCTGAGGTTCTGAATTCTCAGGAGGCATGAGAAAGGTGGGGGAGCAGGACATGACTAGAAAATGCTCTCAGCCTGAGGGCTCAGAACTTGCTCACTTGATCATGCACAAGATCAAGTTCAAAGGTAATTGGAAGGCGTGTTTGCTCCTCAATGGGCTTAGCAGACAGCCCTTTGGGGTGGGCTTGGAGCAGGGCTGGGAGTGGGAAGCAGCGACAGACAAGTAGCAGAAGCTAGTCCGTGTGACAGGGTGGGGCCCTGGGCTTTGCCCAGTGTGGCATTGCCTTACCAGGCTGATGTCATTGACCTCTATGTGTTGGAGGAGGGTGTTGGCCACACTCTCTGTGTCCCACTGCACTCCTGGGTCATCTGGAAACTCGCTGAAAGAGAGAAGCGCACTTGAGGGTGGGAATAACCTTCATGTTTTTAAAAATTTAAATAACATTATTTTTATTTATTTTATACACTGATTACAGTTTCCCCTCCATCCTCTCCTCCTCGTCCTCCCCCTCATCGGTATACCCCCTTCCCCTCCTACTCCATCCAGAAAGGGACTGGCTTGGTTTTTTTGAGACAAGGTTTCTCTGTGTAGCCCTGACTGTCTTGGAACTCTCTATGTAGACCAGGTTGGCCTCGAACTTAGAGATTTGTCTGCCTCCTGAGTTCTGGGATTAAAGTCATGTGCCACCACCGTCACAGCCACCACCACTGCCACCACCACCACTGGGCAGGAATAATCTTGAGACCCAGTGGGCGTGTGCTCAGCTTTGTGAGGAATTAGAGCAGCAATGGGGAGCTCCCACCCTTCACTGCTCAGGTTTCAGCTAAATAAGGTTTACAAACACAAAGCTGCCAGAAATACATGCCCATCAGACACAGCACACACAGTTCTCTTTGCTCCCAGCCAGGCAGGCCGCTTCCATGACCTGTGGTGAGGGTCAATGACTGACCTTAAAATTCTGGGCTAAGAGTCAGAAGGGTTTCCAGCAGGAAAATGACAGGAGTCTCGTCACTAAGTAATGTCATTATTTCCTTTGACTCATTGGCAACCTCTACCCCACATTCCAGCCTTCTAGAGATAGCCTAGTTCCGACAGCTCATTTGGGATGCCCCTGCAGTGAGTGTGGCAGACAGCCCAGTGAGCAGAGGCTGGGCTTAGAGAACAAAGGAACATGGGTACAAAACCCAGCCTTGCTCCCTGGAGGTCCATGCCACAGCACGGTTCTGAAGCTCAGAGGACCATCTTCAGGAGTCATCTCTCCGCCCATCTTTATGTGAGCTCTGGGATGGAGCCTGGACCATTAGGCTTGGGGACAAGTGTCTTTCCCCGCTGTCATCCCACTGGCTGGAGACCACAAGTCTTAGAAGACTGGGTGATCAGAACTGAGCCACTGAGATCCCATTTCCTCCTTCAGGACTCTGTCAAGTTCCTGAGATTCCTGATGATCTTTAAGATTTTTTTCCCATTTAATTAAATGATTATTCAACGAAAGGATGTATAAAAACTTACAAATCTGAGAACTCAACTATACATATAAGAGGATGATGGGATATTCAGTTTCTAACACACAAACGGTATAAGTACACACTATCCCCACCCCTCGTTTCTGGCTCCTGTTGCACCCTATGAGACCATTTTATTATTGGCCCAAGGGAAGATTAATGGACAACTTTTAATGCTGTTAGGCCAGTGGGGAAAATTTCAGGTGTGAACAAAACTTGGAGGACACACATCAAAATCAATTTGTTTCTTTTTCCTCTAAGAAGAAATTAGATGATGATGATGATGATTATTATTTTGTCATCCTGATTTCTCTGTCATTTTTGAGGCTTTGGTAGATGTCACCAGTGGACTATGGGCATTGCATTTAAAAAAAAAAAACAAGGTCTCTCTATGTAGCCCAGGCTGGCCTCAAACCCCCAATTCCCCTGCCTTCACTCCCCACCCCTCCCCCTAGTGCTGGGGTTCTAGATGGGCACCACCAAGCCAGGCAGCATCCCGGTTTCCACCCATTACAGTCACCCTTCCCGTTGAGATGCATCTTTCCACAGCCTTGCAGCGCACACACCGATCTTACAGGTGGCTGGCGCTGACACGTGCTTGCGGCTGGCAGCTGCTGGGGAAGCGGCATGGCATTTGCTGTTTGGAAGGACATTCTATGGCATCGTGTTTTCAAATCCAGTAACAAGACAATAATTTGGTAAGCTAAAATTATAACTGTTCCTTCTCAAAGAAACAAAGTCAGAAGATACAGCTTGCTTCTTAGAGATAAAGCTGGGCTCTGCTATGCAAGTCTAGAAGGTATGGGGAAACTTGAAACCCAAGAAAATGTTTTCAATGTTTGCCCTCTAGGTGTCTGATTTCAGAATGTATTCTTTGAGGTTAGATCCAGTTAAGGGAAATCACTAGAAATCGACTTTAACAGAATGCAGGAGTATAATGTGATGGCAATCTTCATTTCTGGATGAAACCTGACGGGCTGCGAGTCTGTGTGTGAGTGAACAGCACCTGGATGCTTGCTCCAGACAGAACTGGGGCACAGGCCTCATCCAATGCTGGCCTCTCTCCAAGATCAACAAGAACATGCTGGGTTCGGGTTTCTGATGTGCTGAGATTTTGTTTTATCCTGAGGTGATCTTGTGTGTCCGGAACAACACCGAGCTAAAGGGAGCTCATTAGAAATCCTTCCCACTGGGCAGTGGTGGCACACACCTTTAATCCTAGCACTTGGGAGGCAGAGGCAGGTGGATCTCCATGAGTACGAGGCCACCCTGGTCTACAGAGCGAGTGTCAGGACAGGCTCCAAAATTACACAGAGAAACCCTGTCTCAAAAAGCAAAACAAAACTGGAAACCATTCCCGTTATTGCTTCGAAGTGTATTCGTTATCTTTCTGGTCTCCTAGAGAGGAACTGTGTCCTTGTTAGGAATGAGGCTGTTTGACTTCAGGCAAGTTTCACGAGTGACTGCTGATCTAAAGAAAGGCCCAGCAGACACAAATGCTTTCTCTAAAATTCTGGCTTCACCTTGCTTCAGTCTGTCTGAGATGGAGCTCTAACACGGCCAGCCTTCCTAGGAGAATGTAGACAATGAGGTCAGGAAGAGCACCTTCAGCTTCGCCACTCCCGGAACCTCTCTTCAAACAGAATGTCCACTCTGGGCCTCTTGTTAACTTACTATTCCTCCCTGCTCTTTTCTGGTTCTTTTTCTAGCATATTCCGTCTGGCATATTCCACCTAGCACAGGCCCACTTTCAATGCTACTTCCTCCACTGAGTCTTCCAGAAGGGGCTTGAGGCCATAAAGTTCAGTGGGTACAGTCCCCTATACTACTTACACTTTTTAAAAAAGTAAATTTCTTAACTTACTGGGGGTGCACACATATAAACCATAGGGGATGTGTATGCGTGTGTGTGTGTGTGTGTGTGTGTGTGTGTGTGTGTGTGTGAGAGAGAGAGAGAGAGAGAGAGAGAGAGAGAGAGAGAGAGAGAGAGAGAGGACAGCTTTCAGGAATTAGATCTTTCCTTCCACCATGTGGGCCCCTGGTTCTCAAGTCATCAGGGTTAACAGCAAGTACCTTTACCGCTGAGCCCTGCCTTGATTTTTGATACCAGCTGCAAGTTCAGAAATTTCCCTAAACCATCAATAATGCCCTAAAAATACATATGCTACGTGCTGACAATTGTTTCATGCATATTGAGAAACAGTATAGGTTAAAGTCAGCCAAAGGAAGAGATGCCTAAGGCAGAGTCCAGGAAGTTTCTAGATGCAGAGGTCACATTGTGCTCCCCATGGAGGTGTGACATTGACTCAGATGGGGCGTGGCGGGACATAGGGAGCAGTGTCAACCAGGAAAGTGTGCCCAAGTTTCTGTGCTCAGAGTTTTCCGGGTGACTGACTGATTGCCTATGGTTGGTCTCAGCCTCCATGTGACTGATAACATATTTTCCAAAGTCTGCAGTGAAGCCAATACTATCAGCTACGGCACACACTTCCCAGAAGCCAAGGGCAAAATCAAATTCTTTACTCTAGACTATCCTTGTGTCTAAGAACCTCCACAGTCCTCCTCTACCAATATGGCCCACAGTGTGTGATATTTTTTGTGTACTTGGTATAATTCAAGTTGAAGGACAGTTTATTTAAACAGACAGTAATTACCCATTCCTCTCCATGCACAAGGCACTTTCTTTAAGGAATATTAATAAGTACCAGTTGGTTAAGATGTAATTATCTGGCAATGCTAAAGGCAATTAGTTATATTGGCCTCTTGGCAAGAATTTACAAAGACAGCACCTTTATAAAACAGACCTTGCTGGGCTTGGTGGCACGCACCTTTAATCCCAGCACTCATGAGGGAGTGCCAGTCAGGTCTCTGAGTTTGAGGCTAGCCCAGTCTACAGACCGAGTTCCAGGACAGCCAGAGAGACACAGAGAAACCCTGTCTTGAAAACAAAACAAACAAAAAAGATTTTACAAGCAGGAAATGATAGCACATGCCTGGAATCTTAGCACCTGGAAGGCAGAGGAGGCAGGAGGATTTCCTGCAAATTGAGACTAACCTGCTCAACAGTGAGTTCCACGCCGGACAGGACTACACAGCGAAAGTCCTACAGCCGGGCAGTGGTTGCACACACCTTTAATCTTAGCACTAGGGAGGCAGAGGCAGGCGGATCTCTGTGAGTTTGAGGCCAGCCTGCTCTATAAGAGCTAGTTCCAGGACAGGCTCCAAAGCTACAGAGAAACCCTGTCTCAAAAAACCAAAAAAGAAGCTGGGCTGTGGTGGCGCATGCCTTTAATCCCAGCACTCGGGAGGCAGAGGCAGGCGGCTCTCTGTGAGTTCGAGGCCAGCCTGCTCTAAAGAGCTAGTTCCAGGACAGGAACCGAAAAAGCTACGGAGAAACCCTGTAGAAAAGCAAACAAAACCAAAGGTTGGTATGGTGACTCACATCTGTAATCCTAGTACAGGAGGCTGAGACAGGAGGCTTTCTAAGAGTTTGAGTCCCCCTAGGCTATGAGAGTGAGTTCCGGGATAGCCTGGGCTATAGAGTAAGACTCTGTCTCGAGAACAACTGCTACCACTGCCAAAAAACTGATTTGAGTTCCCTACTGCTTCCCTCCAACTCAGTCTAAGGAAATAGAAAGTCGGGTAGAAGGGGAGAGAAGGAAGGGAAGGGAGCAGAGAAAAATGTATAGCTCAATAAAAGCAATTAAAAAATAAACAGAAGGGGGCTGGAGAGATGGCTCAGTGGTTAAGAGCATTGCCTGCTCTTCCAAAGGTCCTGAGTTCAATTCCCGGCAACCAAATGGTGGCTCACAACCATCTGTAATGAGATCTGGTGCCCTCTTCTGGCCTGCAGACATACATACAGACAGAATATTGT